CTGTAATCATGTTATCCTTTTACTTCTATTCCATGAGAAAGAAAGTGCTAACAGAATTTTAAAAATAAAAAGGGACTAGAATGGCATAAATATACTGATTTTTAATTGTAATTTGTAATCCTAACTTCCCATCTCCACCTCCAACTCCTGATGACTACTATTCTACTCTGTGAATTTGATTACTGTAGCAACCTCATATAAGTGGAGCATTATAGTATTTGTCTTTTTGTGATTGGCTTGTTTCACTCTGCATGATGTGTCTATAGGGTTCATCCATGTTGTAGACTTTGTTGGAGAAGTTGAGTAATATTCCACTCTAAAACACATTTTGTTTATCCATTTATCTGTCAAAGAATACTTGGATTACTTTCACCTTTTGGTTGTTGTGAAAAATGTTGGTATGAATGTGGGTATACAATTTCCTTGAGACCCTCCTTTTAATTCTTTTGGGTATATATCCAGAAGTGGAATTGCAGGATCATGGGAATTCTAGTCTTAATATTTTGGAGAATTTACCATATTTTTTTTCCATAGGAGCTGTACCACTTTACAATCCCACCAATAGTGCTGAAGGGATCCAATTTCTTCACTTTCTTGTTATTTTCTATTTTGTGGATAATGGCCATTCTAATGGGTATGAAATGGTATCTCATTGTAATTCTGATTTGCATTTCCTTAGTGACTTGTGTGATGTTGAGCATCTTTTTATGTGCATGCTAGAAAAGGCTGAGATTGTTATGAAGGGAGTTTGAAAGGCAATACTGGTGAGGGCTCAGAAAGAAAAGGAGAGTTGGAGAGTAAATCTTCTATCTTCTTAGTGAATACATAATCATGAATAGAATGTTGATAGATATATGGTGATAGAGGCCATTCTGATGACATCTCAGATGGAAATGAGGGACATGTTACTGGACAACAGAGAAAAGGCAATCTTTGTTTTGAAATAGCAAAAAACTTGGCTAAATTGTGTTCATATTCTGTCTTGTGGAAAGTAGGACTTATGAACAATGAAATTTGATGTTTAGCTCAGCAAAGTGCTGAAGAGGCAGCCTTGTTCCTCCTGAGTGCGTATAGCAAAATACAAGAAAATAAATGAATTGAAGAAGGGATTTTTAAACAAAAAGAAAAGAGAACTTAAAGATTTAGAAAATTCTCAGCCTGTCCACATTGTAAAAAATGAGAAAGCAAGTTTCGAAAAGAACACCAAGTATGTTCTAATGATCTGATGGATTGATTTGACTCCCACCTCATGCTGTGAGTGGTAAGGCGGCCTCCACCTAAGTTTCAAAGGGTGGGACCACACCTCAGCAGTGATACATAGGGCAGCGGGCCTCTGCAGGCTGTCACACATGTAGCACTCCAATGAAGTCAAAGACACAAGGCTGTCCTGCTGAGCTATGAAGATGACACTACCACTTCAATAGGTCCTAAAGATAGAGCCACTCCTTCATTGTACCCAGGGAGCAGAGAATTATACCAAAAATTATACCCCTACTTTCCCCAAAATGGTTATTCTTAAGTCTTAAGATCCAATGTAAATTGCCCTACTAGTTTTGGATTTACTTGGGGCCTGTCATCGCTTCTTTTGTCTTATTTTTTCTTCTGAAGTGGGAATGTTTATTCTGTGCCTATCTTATCATTGTATTTTGGAAATGTATAACTTACTTCATTTTATAGGCTCACAATTCTGGAGGAATTTTGCCTAAAATCTCACCCATATTTGGTTTAATGGATATTTAGATGACAATTTATTTTTTTTCCTTACCAACCAGTTAACTGTATTTATTTATTAAATAGTTGTGACTTTTATTTTTTATATTAATTTTTTTATTTTTTACATCATTGTTCATTTTTAAACAATATTTGCTTCCTCCCACCCGCCCTGGTGTAGTCCCCATGGAGTTTCCTTCACCAGTTCACCCGTGCACCATCACCACAGTCCCCTGTGCTCCTCCCTCCCTCCTTCTTTTTTTTTTTTTAAGATTTATTTATTTATTTATTTTATTATTATTTTTATTTATACAAGCACTGGGTACAGTTAGAAGCGCGGGAGGGTGAGAGAATTCACCAGAGCCAGAGCAGGGAGCAGAGCAGGCAGAAGGACCGAAGTACACTGCCGAGGGGAGCAGCGGGCGGCAGGAGAGGTCTGCGCGCCATGTGGGACCCTCCTCTGATGGCCGGGGAGCAGCTGGGGATCAAACCAGCGCTGCAGAGGCTGTGGGCAGCTTCGCAACCCAGCGCTCAACTGCTGTGCCACCGGGGAGGCCCTCCCTCCCTCCTTCTGATCCCTCTCCCTCCTCTTCCCCTGCAGGATGTCTCTGATTTATAATTGTCTGTTTTTGCTTTGTTGTGTTTTGTACTGAATTATTTTTTTACACTGATGTCTTATTTGGTTTCCCTATATTCCTGCTATAAGTGAAACCATTCGATATTTTTGTTTTTCCTTCTGGCTTATTTCACTGAACATAAATCCTTTCAGTTCCATTGACATTGCTGTGAATGCATGAGTTTATCTTTTTTGATTGCTGGATAATATTCCATTGTGTATATATGCCACATCTTCTTGATCCAGTAGACGACAGTTTTAAACTTCAGACTTTAGAGTTGATAGAATATGTTAAGACTTTTGGGGTTGTTGGGATGAGAGGAATATATTTTACATGCAAAAGGGACATGAATTTTTGGGAACAGGGGTGGAATGCTACGGACTGAATATTCATAATGTTGAAGGCCTAGAACTTCAATGTAATGATATTTGGGGTTTAGGGGAGGTAACTAAGGTTAGATGGTATCATGAGGGGTGGCCCCATGATAGGATTAATGAATGTCCTTATAGGAAGAGAAAGAGACCAGAGCACCCTCTCTTTCATAGCCACATGAGGACACAGTAAGAAGGCAGTTGTTGGTAAGCCAAGAACAGAGTTTTCCCCTGGAACACTACATTGATCTTGTACTTCCCAGGCTTCAGAACTATGAGAATGCCTGTTGGTTAAGCCACCAGTCTATGGTATTTTGTTACAGGAGCCCAAGTTAGGACAGGTTGTTAGTTTTTTTGTTGACTTGCAAGACTTCTTTATATAACCTGGACATCGGCACGTTATCAGCTAAGATCTGCAAATGTTTTCTATTGTTCTATGGGTTGCCTTTTCATTGTATTGTGTCCTTTGAGGCACAGAAGTTTTAAATCTTGATGTAGTCTAATTTATAAATGTTGTTGCCTATGAACGTTGGTTTTCAAAGTATCAGAGTTTGGGCTAGTTAAATTTAAAGATTACTTTTAGTTTATAACTTTCCCAATAAATGGCATTTGATTAAAAAAATTACTAATGCAACATCTTTTTTTATTACCTGGAACTGACATTTATTTTAATGATATGCTGTTCATGATTCAATTCCGTATTATAAACCACAACTGAATCCACAAACTGACAAGATGAGTCCTGGCTTGCTCAATGAAAAGACACTAATGCAATGCTGGTTTATTCTATGGCAAATCTTAGAGAAGGCCAGAAGAATCAGTAGCAGCCAAACACAAAAAAATCAACCACGTAGCTATATGGGACATTCAATTGGCACCTAATATAAGTTTCTTTGCTTGGAGTCAGACTAAAGCAATTAGATTTAGAAACAGCCTGGGAAACATTTTGAATGTAAGAAAACAGGTTAGTAAGTTGATCTTCTTAAATGGATACTATTAGATTTTTCTTCATTTCTTATTCTATAAACCACCTGCAAAATCCTCTGCTTGTCATATTATTGACTGATTGATGACAACTTTAAAAAACAGGAGCCCTTATGTTTTTTAAGGCTTAACAATACAGTGCTATGAACAAGAGAACAGACTTCATAGCTTCATCATTATGTAATATTTTGGAACAACAAGTATCCCAGCAGATGCCAAGTCAATACATAAAGCTTGAAATTAATCCAGAGTTTCTTAAATTTGGCATATTGGAAAATTTAAGAATCCTTTGGAATTCTTTTAACAATCTAATAGGAATAAGTTATGATGCCTCTAGTGAGCATTTAGCTAATAATGTTTTCTGGGTTTTTATATTTTAGCCCTATGCAAAAAGAATGACACTGCACTGTCAGATCTCCAATATGAGACAGTGCAAAATTAATGCTTTAAGCCAAATTTTTTTGTAACCAAGACTGGTAAAATACTGTGAATAACCTCAGCTACTGATGAAAGGAACTATTTTTACATTAAGTTGTACTTTACAAGAGTGAGGTATATATATCAACAAACACCTGATAATTACTCATTGCAGACACATTCCCTTTAGCCTGCTTCTCTCCACATTGAATATGATTATACCCTTTATAACCCTTTCTCTGTATCATCCAGGATAGTTCATTTGATTGAGTTCAGAAGATACAACTTTTGTAACACAAATGACCATCTAGAACTTACTTGTGGGAGGGCGTTGATTTAAAAAAACAGTCAAAGGAGATAACAGAAATATTATTATTATATACTTCCTAAATGTCTCTCATAATTATTTTCTTTTAATAGCAGTAGGTATTGGAACCCTTATAACAACATGCCCACTATTCTATGAAGGGGAGGAAAAAAAGTTTCATTGTATTTTAAAAGACTGGTTAAGTTATTCAGCATATCCTTTTTTTTTTTTTTTTTAGAAAGCAAAATATTGACTAATCAATAAGAATTGCCAAAATCTATCAAAATGAAAGATAAGCGTAAGTATAAAACTGATGATCGAAATGTTCTTCAGTTGACATTTTCCTAAATGGCAAGGGAGTTTAGTTTTTCATTTTTATTACCCAAGATATTTCTGGGGACTTGGGGTAATACTGGGTCAACACATGCCTTTCTGTAACTTTTAAAACTACTATTTTAAAATGCTGTTAGTAACTGGATTCTTAAAATAATCCCATTTTGAGAGAACAAAGAAACAATTTGGAAAACGAAGATGAACTAATATGAAAAGAGTGGAAAAGAATCAGAGAAATACCACAGGATAACGTGAACATACCTCCTGGGCTGTGACCGGCATTCCTCCTCCCCACTGTCTGCCTCCTATGTAGACAGGAAAATGAGAAAAAATTATTTAAAATCTGGGTCTCACATCATAATGTCAATAATGCAATTTTACAAAGCCTTATATGTAGGAATATTTCATTCGTACTGTGCAGTTTAACTAGATTCCCCCCATAGAAAGTGACTTCAACCAACTCAGAAGGGTGATAAATATCAACAGAACTTATTCCTGGAGAAAACCTTAGTAACAGTCTTCAAAGAAATTTCATAGATAACGAAGTGCTAATCATTAAAAGAATTACCTTAAACTCAAAATGAGTGGACATTCTGGACCATTAACAAACCTCATCAAGATGACCTACTAATGATTCTGATCCCCAAAGAATAACCTAAACAATGAGAACCACTTCAGTAAGTAGTCTTGATCAAATTACCATCACCATGGTACACGGGTGCATTGGGGAAGGAAATTCCAAGGGCACTACACCTGAGGGGGTAGAGGGAAGCAAATATTGTTTTTAAAAATGAACAACAATGTAAAAAAATTAATAAAAAATAAATAAAAACAAAAAACAACAACAACAAAACAAATCACCATCACCATCAACACTATTGAGCATTTAAAATGTACTAAGAACCCTGATCAGTACTTTGTCCTACTTATTCCTTATAAACTCAAAAGGTTGAGAGTATTGTGTTTTTCATGGACTATAACACATACATATAACTTAGGATAAATCTATAAACAGTGTGAAAAAGCAATGAATTATGATTTCATTGCAATATTTATTTTTTTCCTTAGTGGCATATAAAATAATAGAAGGTATTTATGGCAATATAGACTAAATGAAACATGACTGCCTTACAGAGAAAGAAACTGAAATTTACAAAGAGGAAAAAAGTGGCCCAAGGAAACTCCACATGGTGTAGAGGATTAAAACTGGCAAAATACTGATGAAAAATAAGTAATTTACCCATCCCTTCACTAACTTAGAAATTATTGTATGTAAAAATATTATACAGATCTTCATGGAGACAAAAATACTACCTAAAGGAAAAGTGAGGAAAGTTAATTAATGACACTGAGGTGCTAATTTTTTCATTAAATTTGTTCTGTGATATTTTATATTCTTTTCTGGTAACTTTTGTCCTATTTGGAAAACTCAAAAATAGGAGAAGAATAATCTCAAAAACTACACATAATACCATCCAATAAGCCACTTATATTTTTCTAGTTTATGAAACCATCCCTTTACCTCTGCACCATTGTACCATCCATCCTAAGTAGACACAGCCAGCTCTATAACTTTTATTCCCCCTTTTGTTTTCATTAGATTTCAGGCATGTTTATTATCTTCCACAAATGATAAGAACACAGCAAAGACTCTGCTTCTAGAAGAAAAAGTGTCATAGTGTATTACACTCTTCTTCTTGTAGGGGAGGTTTCAGGTTCAGAAGTATGCCCTTTAGGAACTGAAAAGAAAGGAGCACACTACAGGGGGCGGTGGAGGGAGTAGGATCAAAACAAGGGGGGTGGGGGGTGAGAAGTGTATGGGGACCATAACCAAGATGAAAATGCATATAGTGTGCAAAAATGAAAAATGATGTAAAAAATATATATAATTAAAAAATAATATTAAAAAAAGAAAAAAAAAAGAAAGGAACACAGGGGACTGTGGTGATAATGCACGGGTGCATTGGTGAAGGAAATTCTATGGGGACTACACCTGAGGGGGTGGGGGGAAGCAAATATTGTTTTAAAATGAACAATGATGTAAAAATAATTAAAAAAACTAGTTATTTCTAAAGTCAATAGTCAGAATCTGGAAAGTCTGCAAGAATGAAAATGAAGATTCAGGCAAACAATTGTAAGTGTTAGATTTGTGGGGCCCAAAGGTGCTGGAATAAATAAAAATGTCATGGAATGGGAATGTCACTTAACAAATAGTTCTTCATTATAGTTATTACTAGTTAACATATCTCAAATTTTCATGTACTACTCTCATTTTTAGTTGTATGAAATATCATATAAAGGATATATTTAAAATATATGTAAGATATGAATAAAGTAAGAATACCTGTTAACACCATTCCACTTCAGAGCTGAAATAGTGTAATAGCTTTGCACCTATTTATGTGCATATTTCTTATCTCCTTTTCCTATTTTCTCCCAAGATATGACTATTACACTGAAATTTAGGTTTATAAATGTTATTGAAATTTTTTAAAATACACAAACACACACTATAGTTAACCAATAGAGTCCACCATCTGGACTCTACCAATTATATCTTGTATACTTGCTTTACTGCATATCCATTTCTTTACGCAATCATCAATCTGTTTTACTTTTTTGAAGCATTTCAAAGTACAACTGTCCTTAAATGCACATAATTAATTACAGTTTGGTATTATAGTTCTTTCTTCCTTTAATGTATATATAACAATGTACAAATTTTAAATGCACCATTCAATGACTTTTGAGAATTGTATATACTGTGTAACCCAAACTTCCATTAAGAACTGGAAAATTTCCATTTCTTCAGAAAACTTACTAATGTCCCTTCTCAGTCAATACCCAATACCATCCACCCCAGAAACAACCATTGTTCTAATTTTTATTTCACTATAAGTTTTTCCCATCAAAAATTAGTACATTGTATAATGACTGCAATGTTCATATAAATGGAATCATAAAGTATGTCTTCAAAGTTGGTTTCAAATGCCAGTAATTCATGACACAGCATCACCTGACTCATAGGTATCTCCCTTCAAACCTGACAGTTATTGTGCAGCTTTCCTGTGGCATGAATTTTTGTTTTATTTCCCATCATTAGACTATGATCTCCTTAAGGGGCAGCAGCCATGTCTCACTTCCTTTTGCATCTCACTCTGTGTTTGGCATAATTGCCTATGCACAATGGGACACAAGTGAATGAATGATCAGAACAGTTAACTGAAAACATATGAACACTTAGAGCTAATAGGTTATGTTAGCTCACTATGTTATACAGCTAGTGAGGACTCTACACCAATTGTATTTTAGCTTTATCAGATTAAAAGAATGGTTCTTGTTGCTCCTACATCTTAGTCACAGATATGTGACTAAGATGTAGGAGCAATACCTTACACTTTCACTTTGGTTAAGTGAGCAGAATAATTCATTTGCTCTCATTTATATATTCACTCATTCATTCAACATTCATTGGCTGTTATATAATACCTATTATGTGTTAGACAGGAGACACTAGAGATTTAAAAATTGCCCTTATTCTTGGATAGTTCACATTGTAGTGAGGGATGCAGTTCCACATACCAGAAATAATAATATCATTTGGGCTATAGTAGCGGGATAGATAAAATGCTATAGAAGCAACAGATGTGACTACCTGTGGGTCTGTGAAATGCTTCACAGAAGTTGATTTGCAGACTGGTTTTGTGTTAAGATGGAAAATAGGAGGAAAAGAATTTCAAGTGAAAGGGCTGGCAAAAATAATAGAAAGGCAGAGGAGTTAAGACAGAATCTGATAGGGCCTCCCCTGGTGGCGTAGTGGTTGAGCCACTGGTGAGGGTCCCACATGGCATGACTGACCTCTCCTGTTGCGCCCGCTGGTCCCCTCAGCAGTATACTTCATCAGTCTGCCTGTTCTGTTCCCCGCTCTGGCTCTGGTGCATTCTCTCACCCTCCCGTGCTTCTGACTGTACCCAGTGCTTGCATAAATAAATAAATCTTAAAAAAAAAAAGAGATTTAAAAAAAAAAGACAGAATGTGATATATTTGGGAAATGGTGAGCAGCTGTGGATTGCTGGACAAAGGTACAAGTTTTAGGGATTAAGGCTATCCAGTAATATTGATGTTATGAGTTCATCATGGTAGGAATATTAAGATAACAGTTCCATGCTCCAGATAGATGGCTGTATATTATCCATTAACTGGATTTCAAATAATATATCCATCTTGATCCTTGGAAATAAATTAATACTGGAGGTGTCTGTCAGACAGAAAGTCAATCTAGTAGTTTTTCTAAGGGTATGTGTGAACTTTGAAATCAGAAAGGATAATGCTGTGCTTTTGGCTTTTGAAAGCAGTATATGTAAAGAAAAAAGGCTCAAGGTGGAAATAAGTGCACTTGGCTACTAGTAAGAAAAGGCTAAGATTCTTTGTTAGAAACAAGAGACAAAAACATAGGAATAGAACCAGTTATCTGATTATCCATTGTCTCATAACAAACTGCTACCACATTATATTTCATGATTTATGAGTCAGTAATTCAAGAAGTACTTACATGGGTGATTTTTCTCTTCTATGTACATTGCTAGGGGGGTCACTAAATACTAACCAGGTAATATTTAGTTAGAAGATGGGCTGGTAATGAGGGTACAAGCAGCTTCACTCATATCACATTTGATATCTTAGTCTGGATGGCTGGGAAGTTGGACTCGATTATAAATGTCAATTAGAGTATCTATAGCTTGGATCTCCTCAAAGTACAGTGGCCTCAGGATTGATCTTTTCGCATGGTGGCACAAGGCTTCAAAAGGTTAGGCTCAGAACTGGCATACTTGTTTGGTATATTTAAGAAATTTAGTCCAGATTCAAAGGGAGGGGAATTAGACTCTACCTCTCTGTGGGAAAAGTAGCAAAGAATTGGCAGCCATCTTTAATCAAACTTAACAATCCTGATGACTAATAAATATGTAGGCAAAATGATCAGAACAGAAAAAAAGGTAGTTAAAGATAGTTAATGAAGTAGAGAACTTCTAAAGGTTAGGGCCACAGAGATATTCAGGACAATAAAGAAGATGATTCTCATTGACAGTGCAAGCTGGACTGAAGGCCACAAAGATATTTGCTGATGTCTATTATGACATGTCCTTTCAATTGGGATGTTGAGGACAAGAGAAGACCTGTACTGTGGCAGTATAGACACACAGTACTGACCAGGACCAGAGTGACTAATCTGATTATCTAAGAAGCTGGTTTGAAAGAGGCTCAGACCCTATCAAAGCATCAATCACCAAAATAATCTGACTTTGTT